AAGTTATTGATGTATTAATTTAATCATTAAGAGAATATTCTATCAAGGCGCTCGTACAAATTCTGATCACTCAAGTTTTTTTTCAGGTTTACAATGCGGAAGTAATTCAACACTATTTGCATTCAACAACAGAATTATTCATGTCGATAGTTAATAGTATTATTTAATTTTTTTAAGATTACCTGTCTATAAAATTATTTTGCTATTATTTCGATTAAGCAATGAATAGAATTAGTCGTGGGTCTCAAGTTTCAAGCAAAAATATTTCGTCTGCGTGAGGACCTCATAGAAGTATACATGTATGCTCATGGTTTATACAAGGTCCCCGAAGGATTACTAGAATTTGAAACAAGAACCAACACCAGGGGCCACGGCTATAAACTAAAAAAAATTGCGCTGCAATTTCTCCACGCGACAAAATTTCTTCTCGCTTCGAAAGAAACAGACGCTATCGATACTCCTTTCGTCAATATCGGAACATAATTCTTCGAACAACACATGTAAAGAATATTAGCTTACCTGCTGAACCTGACTAACTTATTCAGTTACATATTGAAACAATTACAATTATAAACAAACAATTTGACAATTTGTTAACAATAAAAAGTTTACATAATTTATCTTAATTTCTGCATATTGAAAATAATTAGTCAGGATAGCATTCTAAATTTCAGACATGTATCTTATTTAAGAGGGGAGTTATTGAACCGAGTAATAGTTAAGAAACTCCATAAACGACTATCGTAGCTGAGCGCCGTGATGCAGAGTCTTGATTGGTTCGGTAACAGTTCGTTATCAAAAGTCATGCCATCGCGCTTTATTATTCTATAACGTGATTTGGTTATCAATGTATCTTAGTTAGTCGGATTTCCACCTAATCTTTAAAATTCTGTAAACACAATATGAATATAAAATAAAAATCAAGCAAGAAACACTTCATCGTAATTTATTTAATTGAATTATTTAGTATAATTGAATAACGTGCCGTCACCATTGAGGCGCAACATAGGACATGAAGCGCAGTTTGATACTGCCATTTTATTGTTAACTGATTGTTCCTCTCATTAAATTGTTAATTGATTGTTCATCCCATTTATTTGTCAATTGATTGTTCCTCTCATTTAATTGTGAATGTATTGGTCATCACATTTAATTGTTAATTGATTGTTCACCCCATTTATTGTAAATTGATTGTTCCTCCAATTTAATTGTCAATTAATTGTTCCTCCCATTTAATTGTTAATTGAGTGATCCTCTCATTTAATTGTTGATTGATTGCTCATCCTATTTATTTGTCAATTGATTGTTCCGTCTATTTAATTGTTAATTGATTGGTAATTTCATTTAATTGTTAATTGATTGCTCCTCCAATTTAATTGTTAGTTGTTTGTTTGCCCTATTTAATTGTTAAATGATTGGTCCTCTCATTTAATTGTTGATTGATTGCTCCTTCTATTTAATTGTAAATTGATTGCTCCTCCTATTTAATTGTTAATTGATTGTTTCCCCATTTAAGTGTAATTGATTATTCCTCCCTTTCAAGTTTTAAATGATTGGTCATCTCATTTAATTGCTAATTGATTGATCCTCAGATTTAATTGGTAATTGATTGCTCCTTCCATTTAACTGTTAATTGTTTGTCCGTTCCATTTAATTGTTAATTGGTCGTTCCTCCTATATAATGTTTAATGAAAGTTTCTCTGTGGTGATTTTTATTTGCATTCCAGTTGTTCACCGCGGCGAGCAGAGCGCGTAATTAAACTCATTGTGCTCCTCTTCCATGGTTGTTAATCCTATTGTTTCCTCGTTGATGAAATTCCAGCTCGTATTAGGATGGAAGGATTGTCAAATACATGTGAGTTTTATTACTGACGCATTCAGATATGACACCCAAGATCAGGAAGAAAATTCAAATGAGGCTTTTGAATTTGTGAATTCATAACCTGTATCAGGCTGTATGAGGGAAACCGTTACAGGGAGCTTCACTTTTTAAAATTTTTTATGCAATCAACGCTAACAAAATTTTAATATTCTACGTCTCGAACATACAAATTAACAACATTTTCAACAGGTCACAAAATTTATATTCATTATAATATTCAATATTCATATCCAGCATATTGAATATGTTAATGCATATTCATATTCAGCATATTTCATTAACATATTCAACAGCTCACAAAATACACGAAATTCTTCCCAACAAATACAAAAGTCATGTAAATTTGAAGCCTCTCTGTATGAGAAGCTTCTTTATTTCGGGTTGTGGTTTTGGGTGTGTGCAGGATAAAAAAAGACTCTGGACAGAAATGAACGCCTGGTCTTCCCTTCGTAGACAATGGGTGCTTTTCGTTCGACCCTCCAATGCAAAATAAGAAAAGAATGATTTCATTTTCCATTTGAGTACAATTTAAGCCTCATAATGTATTATATAGAGATGAAAAAACGTTGTCGCCCTTTTTCGACTAATTTCAAGACAATTTTATACAAAAACAAGACGAGTTATAGACAGAGTTGAGTCTCCACGGGATGGTATCCACTATTGAAGACTTCGCTTTAGCTCCATCGCTGACCCATGCAGTGTCGTTACCGTGACATCTTGACGATTCTAAAGAATTCCTTCAATTTGTCAAGGTGCAAATAGCATCGACGTAGACTCGGCATCGCTTTCCACTCACCCGCACACCAAAATATATTCGCAATATATTTTTTGTCCTGATGTTTGTGACGTTCAAATTTCATTTGCATTGCGTTGTATACTTGCGAACCAATAGAAATATATGACTTTTGTCCACCGTTGAAAAATAGTTTACTTTCATATTCTGATAAACTGCTGGAAATTTCACAGGAAAACCCGAATTCTGAACCAGAAGTTAACATGCTATACGAGTTCTCGACGAACATTCATTATTCATGCCAGCATTCTAACCAATCCAGAACTTCTGCAAATAACCTCGCAACTCAATTTTGCATTAGGCATGTACATGCAGCGCAAACAAATTATTGTTCTCATTCAAGTCAACACTGTGATATTTTTATTTATTTCCCTCCTGGGAATCACATTGAAGAGGATCCATTGTGCTGCGGCTTAGAAGGGGCGCGCTTGTTTTTGTTTATGAATGCAAATGAATTCAAAAGCAGCGCGAGTTCAAATAAATGCAGTTGTTCTCATTGAGTCGCATATATGGAACGACAAAGTTGGTGTGTGCATGAGTCTTTCGTGACATTTTTTATAATAGTTTTGAAATTTATCTTTGTTTCTGTTTTTCCTGGAAGTCAGTTACTAAATGTTAAACGTTTTTCATATCATTGAAAACGTGTTGAAATTTTTATTTCACGCAACAACGGAAACCGAATGTCACTTCCTACAGTGCTGAATAAATCGCGCACCAAATGCAGTAAGCAAGGTATATTATTTCATTAACAGAACGTCATGAGAAATTGGAAGTTTGTGCATGAGGCGAGTGCAGTTATAACGAGCCATAACCTACGCAGGAGTAGCACAAAAAGCTTATTTTTCCAACGATCTGTGCATCAATCAACTAATGGCATCGATGCAATTTTTGCATCTCTCTCTGCAACTTTTTACTGTCCATTTCCCTGCCGTTTATTGCGCTTTCTTCCTTTTATGTGGGCGTATTCCTACGGTTGTATAATATTAATTACTAAAAATAGAAATAAATAATAATTCCATATATAGTTACAAAAATATTAATTAGAATAATAATTACATTGTAAAATATTAATAACAAGGACACTTAATTTGGTATGTTTAACATGAATTACACCGGGAATTCCAGAATGAAATCCCCCAAAAACATTTGGTTCCATACCCATCTAACTATCTGCAGTTTATGTACGAGTAGCTCATATTAATATTCACCATCAACCTCCGGATGCACGAAACAAATTAGAATTCGCGCGCACAAAGCGCCCATTTCTCTGCCTGCCCACTCAAATGTGCACAGAACAGCGCTCGCCTCTTTGCAATGCTCAACCACAGCACACATTCCCTTCATCTTCCTTCCCCTCACGACACAACCCACTCTCTTTTCCCCTTACATGCGCTCTCACTACCAGCATGTCCTCACTACCCCTCACTGATGGCCTCTCGCTCGTAGGGCCTCTCCCTCTCGCTCCTAGCGCCTCTTCCTCTCGCTCCTAGCGCCTCTCCCTCTCACACTCTGTTTTCCTCTGTAAGAACCACCCTCTCACATCGTCCACTCGCTTTCAATATTTCTATCTCTCAGTAAATTCTTTCTCGCAGTTATTTTCACACACGAAACCCTGTGAAAGAATCATATAGTTACTCTGTAATCCAGGCATCTCACACGAACACGAATGTCGTGTTCGAAAGTTGCTCGTAATCTTAAAATCTTGCATTAAAATTTTCTTTTTTTTGCATCCCTTCCTGTGAATTCCAAATAGTGATTACAAACAACTTTAAAATACTGACTGCACTTATATTTTCTTTATACATACATACATACATACATAACTATTCTCTCGTATATTTTGATCCTAATTAACTTTTTTACATTTTTCAAGTATTGGAATTTATTTTTTATGCTTTAATTATTGACGTCGGAGAAAAATATGGCATGATCGAATATTAATGATTTTTAATGTAAATCGAAGAAAATGTCCGCATTCAAATTCATTTTGCATTTGCACCATACTTGCATCTACACATAAATTCTATTTTAAAGTCTTCCCGATTAAAAACCCTATTTTGTAACACATTTGAAATAATAAAAGATTGCATTCTAAGGTGTAACCGTTCAAGTGGAAACAGCTCATAGTGACCCCCAAAACAGAGAGGGGGAGCCACGTCCTCTTCCTATATGTCCCTGTCGATTTGCATTGACCTCACTTTGCATTATAGTTTCCCCTGCGACCCGCTTGTGCTCAGTTCCCTCCCCTCCCCCATTTTAGCTTTGCCAGCCCCGTACCTCTGACCCTCATGCAGTCATCGTCTCCAGTGTCGTTTGTGAGTGGTTAAAGGCAGCACGCGTCCGTACCTCGGTGTCTCTGATAAATTGTGCTGCTCTCTACTGCACTGTTAGTTGCCTGCACGCGAGTAGCAGGAGTGAAAAGTTGGGCGAGGCCTCCGGGGACTTTCAGTGCTCTGCCATGAAAGCATGAAACCGAGGTGAGGTGCTTAGCTCAAGATGAGAGAGAACAAAAAATGAGATCGTTGTTTCTAACTCGTCACCTAACGTTCCCCAAACGAGCAACTCGAACGCCCCACTGAAATTTGCTTCTTTCCTCGAAAGTTTGACGTCATCACGTTAATGATGGGGAAAATTTCGGTTACATGTATACATAGACTGAAAAGTTTGTATCTTTAATGGTATAAGCTTTGGTAACTTGTAATCCATACGTTAGTCGCACAAAAATTTGCGTAGAGAAATGCATTTGAATTAATTTAAACTAAAGTCGTTAAGACGCCATATTCTCTGCATCGTTCAATCCAAACTTTTAGTTTGCGGGAAGGCGAGTAATTCTGCCTAATGCGTCCGGTCATTACCAGAATCTTCAGCAAAGTTTAAGAGAATTATACACGTAATATAAAGGAAATTATGGAACATATTACATCATGGAATTATCATTTATGATTACGAGTATATAAAATAACGTATTATATATTTTACCACAACTATAAAATATAAAGGTAGCAAATTCAATCTTACAAAATGTGCAGCGGTAACATCCATACATTTTAGTGTCATTTCACACACTATTGAGGTCTTCCTCATTCACCTCCTTGTTGCATGAACAAAAATAATTTGTTGATCGTAAAGTTTTTTATTTATTCCTTGCTGTGTTACTTTTTGCATATTTAGTCCATCATTTTGGGCCTATCTAGTAAACAACCTTGTTTTAATTATTAATACAGTAAGTTCTTGCGTTTCGGTATCATTTTCTGTAACTCTCAAAGGTTGCGAATTCGCTATCACTTAAACTTAGAAAGAAAGGTTTTCTATATACCTTGCTTACATACGACTACTTTCTACTAAACATTGCGCAATAACTTGAAAATTTCAATGAAATTTATTTTTTTTCAGATTACCTGGGCCAGGGAAAAAATGTTTTCACCCCAAACACCGTCAACTGAATGGACTAAATTCACGAGAAATAAACTACGTATCAAGTGAATCAAGGCCCCATCTGGTCAGATGCTAGTCATCCAACCATGACTCCCAACCACCAAAATACCAAAACTATTATTAAAATGTCACTTCTAGCGGTTTTTGTTCTTCTTCTCTTAGTTGAAAAAAGTGAAGTGGTTTCTGCAAACTCTGTTCCTTCGTCAACTAATTTTAAGTATCGGCCTCAGCCTCCTCCATTTTCTCCTTCCCTTGAGCGTCTCATTCAAGACTTAAAATCAAACAAAATATCTGGCAAAGAAAATTCGTCCTTGCCATCCTTTGAAGGTTCAGATCGAAAAGCCATCGATCCTCCATCCAAAATATTTCTCGACTCCATTAGGAAAAAACCTGCTCCGCAAAATGCCGCAGATAAAGGGAAGCTAACACGGTTATCGAACTCTGCCTCCATTGTTAACCACTCAGAGTCTCCGGCCACAAGAGAACAACAGCCTATTGCTACGACACAACCTTCGATTGCTGGAGATAGTAGCTCCAATAGTAAAGCCTCTCTCAACGGAGACAATGTCTCGACTCAAAGATCCGTTTTCGTCTTTGACAATCCCTTCGATAGCGAGCGAGAAAATTGTCCTCCGCCTCTCGAGCCCGGACATCTGCGCTGGAGGAAAGGAAACAACTTCGTGACTGCATCTCTGCCGCACTTGGTAAGTGCTCGCTTCCTGATTGCTCTGCTTTTATGTCGTGGGTTACTGACGTGATGAGAGGAGCATACGAGCATCAGGCCTGCATGCCACCAGCGCCGCACTTTGGACCTTACACCAAGCAGTTTAGTTAAAAAATGTTTATAATTTGATAAATAAATATATAATTGAATTCGTGATTTATTCATTAATGAAAAAAGTAATTGTGGCACTAGTAAATACGGATTTGTAGCTTTAAAGAAACTGAAATATGCTATATGTGAAGTCAAGTCAAAGTAAAAAGAGATTTACGTTGAAGCGATACGTTAATGCGCATGACAGGTGCATTGCAGTGAAGAAGCGGCATACACTATGGATAAAGTATTTACCGGTATGAGTATGATAGCTTAAATCAGGAATTTGGTGAGAGGTAAAAGGAAAACAGCAGGTAAGTTCAGCACTGGCAACCTATGAATGTAGTTAAAGAAGGAAAGTGGTTGGATACGACACGTAGGTGAAGGAAAAGTAAGGTAAAGTCATAACTGTAATTGGAAGTTATACCAGGGGTTACATAACAAATACCAGGATTATTTGGTATGTAACCAAATATTTTTTATATTTTATATATACCCCTGATATATATAAAAGTAGTCATATAATAATATAGAAGCAGTGCAAGGAAGTGGAAGGTAGATTTATCCCGCTATGCACGCAAGGTGGCAAGGGAGGCGCACTTACACTGCAGTTTCAAGTGAGAGTTGCATGACGAAGTTGAACAAGATCCTTCCTAGCACTTAGTTGGGAGCTCGTAATAGCTTCCAGAAGTTCGAAGCATCCGGTAGCTTCGTCATACTGCACGGTAGATCCATAGTTGAGGAAGTAATCTGGTTAACTGGAACACTTGCCGCGGGCTTAGAGTAGATCTTTGAGGTTAAGTTTCACCGGCGTCTGCTAGAGGTCCAGCTCATGACGCTCCTTGAATTTACTTGCTCTTATTCAACCATCTCAGCTCAAAATTGATTCTAAGTCTAAAATAATGTCTGAATGCAATCTAATAGATTATTAATTTTACACCTGATTGCTGATTATTTACTAATGCAGTACCTCACAACCTTATGTTATGTAACCTGGAAGTGATTATTGTATTGATACATGAACATTTTTCAGAATTGCCTTAAATCTTCCGTTGATCAGCAAATGCTAAAATGCAAACTTTGGCCTGGTCGGTTTCGCGATAATTTGATAGTTTATAAGTTTCCTTTCAGATCACACAGTTATTAAGTTCAAGTCTTAAAAGCACGCCAACCTCTACTTTCATAATTACAACACTTCTCTTTAACTTCACTTCTTGTTTGTTTGTTTGTCTGTTACGAATCTTATAATAGATAATTAACACCATTCTACCTCTATAATCGCTCCAAAATTTTGCACACTTGCGTAAAGTTGCAGACAATGCATGAATCAATATTGACAGAATAAATAATTTTGAAAATTTATAAAATTGTATTTTTAATATAAAAAATAGAAAAAAAATTTTTGTTTGCTACAAAACTTACAATAGATATTTAACACGCTTCTATCTGTCTAATCGATCTGAAATTTTGCACACTTGCGTAAATTCGGAGACAATGCATGAATCCATTGACAGAATAAATAATTTTGAAAATAAATTTTAAAAATAAAATGAAAAAATTATTTTTTTATTATTTGATAATAAAATTAGAAATTCGTTGTACATGTGTAACTTCGGAGACACTGGATTCTTTATAGGTGTTGTCTTTAAAAAGTAATTTTTAAACGCATATTATTTGATAATCGGCTCAGATAGTCAGTAACTCACATAGAATGCAGACAACAATCTTCAATGTTGCCAATTTTTAGTATTCGACGTGATCCTCGGTGGAATTTTCATCAAAGAAAATTCATTTTATTTGTTAACCTGTAGAGACTGTAAGTCATACTGTCATATCGCGCGTACATATATGAGTACTTTAGACGGATACAGAGATTTTTATGTGTACGTAAGTGCCTCTTGAATTCCATTAAAAGTATTAACTAATTTATTTGATGTAGCCTGGCCCGGCTGTTTCAAATTAATTTATTTGTAATGCGTTGACTGAAGGAAACGGCTAAAAACAATATCGTGCATAATTATTTTCATATGATATTTTCGATGAAAACTGAGAGAAGTAACACACACACCCTATTGAAATTAGAAAAGGCATTTACTGATGCTTTAAAGTGCTGAAAGTGTTCTATTTTCAACTTGAATGGAAATCTATCAGAAATACATGTCAAAAAATCGGAAGAAAATAACTCAATATCTTCTTTCAAGTCATGAAAACGTCACTCAGAGTTTCAGTGCAAGATGGTTCGGTCAAGAAACTCAAGTTACGTATATTTATGCTGTATATATATCTTTGTATTTTTGACGAAAAAATTAACGACTGCATCCTTTCATTTTTCATGAATCACCACTCATTTATTGCATTCACAACATGCATTTAAGAACATCTTCAAACTACCATAATTTTAGATTCGCCAGACAATTTAATTCAATTTAGACTGTAAATTGCAACAAGTAAAAATTAATGACTGTTCAAGTAATTGAACTAATTGCATTGATTATGAATGATTATGCCCGAACTAGTTAAAGTAAAAAGCAGTATATTTTCTGGCATCGTGAGCAGGGGAATTCGAGCACTCACCATTTTTTAATTTTTAATTTATTTTAATTCAAGAGAATTATGAGGTGGGGAGGCTAGGGTGACCCAATTACAGGATATTTATTAAAATATAATCACAGAGACACGCTTGCATCAAACACAAATTGTCTAACAAAATCTGTTATTTTTATAAATGAATAAGTTATGGTTCTCAATTGGTGACAATTCAACCAAACTTTCTTTTCATTCAATATAGTTTTTTATTATTTTGTAACGTTAAAATCTCTATTGACATTTCCGGAACTTCAGTTATGAATAAAAAAAAAACGAGAGCATCTCACAAGTCATAAAAATTAATCACTTAAATTTAAACAAAACTATAGAAGCAGGAACCAAAACTGCATGCCCCTGAAAACATACCTTGAATTTCTCAATTTTTACACCAGCTCGAAAAATCTGGCATTCGAAAACATTTATGCAATCTTCCGAAAAAATATATCGTCAAGACACAGTATTGCATTTAAGAGAAAGAGGTTCATCAAATATTTTATAATGTAGGACTGCATGCTAAAGTTTCAATTTTAAAGTCTCTCCTTCCAAAGAGAAACCAAAAATCACGTCGGGAGTTTGCAGGAAAACATGTTTTTGAGACACCGGTGCAATGGAAATGAATTCATTTCAGCGATGAATTCAAATTCAAGCTGTTCCCATGTGACGACGCTCTCTACGTACGACGCATAACAGGTGAAAATGTTGACATAAGTGCAGAGAATGTGAATTTTGGACCCGTCACCGAATTGAATTGACGACCAATATCCAAACCGGTTCTTTTGAAAACTCCAGACGTACATTTTGATTTCGTTCTATGATGAGAGGCTTCATAGAGGGAACCCCTAGCTGTAAGCAATCCTGAGTTATTTGACACTAGTGTGAGCGATTTTCGTGACTATGTTATTTCTAATATTTATATTGATTTATGGGAAATTGTCCTGGTTGTTTTAAAACGTCATTATGCAAAACTTTAATTTTAATTTCTGTTTGTTTTCATTTTTCTTGCATCTAAAGTTTTATCTTTGCTAATCCTGGCTTTTTTTTACACGAACGACGAAAAATGCCGACCATCTGTGAATTGTACTTGTATTTTTAATGTGTTTCAAATTTCTCTATTCTTCTCTTCAAGGGATTTTTTATATTAACTTACAAATTAATCTTAATTTTAATGAGCACAAACCCATAGTTTGTGCTCAATAAAATTTAAAAAGATCTCGCAAATTTAAAGCATCGTTCCTTGTCACTCAACTCCTCATTAAAAATACGGTCACTTTCTATTAATAAATTTAATAGGGAAACTAGAGAGCAAAATAATTTTATCAAATGAATCTTGTATTAAAATACGCCATTAAAATGAATTATTCTCAGAGCTTCTCCCTTCTTTTTACATTTATCCCCGAGTAAACTAGAATTCCTTTGGATATGCGAAAATCAATTCGTCTTTTTAGCGCATTTTCTCATTTATGGAAAAAAATGCACTATTGTGCTCGCCATGTCTGTCTGTCTGTCTGTCTGTCCGTCCGTCTGTCCATCCGTCCGTGACCTCAAGTTTTCGTCGACGAGAAAATGCGCTCTCTGCCACTCACCGCTTGAGTACTGAGTAATATTTTTTCTATCTTCAGCGAAGATGTCTATTTAAAACCTGAATAACGTAGTTCAATTTTCAATCATCAAGGGAAGGTATCAATTACTATTTAAATATATAAATGTGTGGCGAGTTTCCTTTCCTTTCGCTTGACTCATTTTCCATTTCAAAATTTCCTTCCCTTGACTCATGAAATACATATCATCAAATCAATTGCCAACCACTTTTGGATGCGTTTATTTTCGATTTCATTTAGATATTTTGGAGCATAAGCTGTTTTTTAATATATTGATATAAATAATAATAACATACATTGATTTGCACATCTACTCAGCACATAAAAATTTAAAGCTTTAGGCACAAATGGTCTCCGAAGTGAGCCTTGTTGTGGTGATTGCAGTTTTTACTGAGATTAGATTAAGTTTAAAATTTCCAAAAAGGGATTAGAGAAGTTATTTCAGAATTTTTAATTATTTTCAGTGAACAAATTTACCCTCAGTCTATATTAGCGATCACGTGAGCTTGGATAAGTATTTTTCATCTAGTCAAGCGGATAGAATTAATTGAGTGTCATCAATGAGGATGCAAACCGGTAAAAACTAAGGCCAAATTAATGTTAACTCTTAAATGTAATATTCAATAAAAGTTGTAGAATCCATACAGGTGAAACGCGCTTTTCCGTCAAATATCTTAGAACAAGCGATCATTTCGCAATGAGTATAAAAATTGGTTTTTTATATATAATATGATTTGGTTCTCCTGTTGAAATCTCCATTGAACTTTTCAATAACTTCCTGTGAATTTTTTAAGTAATATAGTTTGTTCCATCAATATCCTTAGAGTGTTATATCGGTCAAAATAATTTAGAATGAAGCCATCGTAACTTTCGATACGAAATAATCTCTTTTATTTGTCATTTAAATTCATGTGACCTCGGCATAAAATATTTTTCCAGCTGCAATTCAAATGGTGCATTAAAAAATTTATGGTTGACTTACTGAAATGGTTTGCATAATTCTGGCAGAACCCTCGCCAAACATTAATTTAAAATTCAGCGAGCCACAACCCATTGGTTTTCTCATAAATATTAATGCGTTCTGTGAATTTTGCCCTCGCCTGCGTTATTTGGTTGATATTGAACGTCGTAAATCAGCCAATTCGTTAGCAGGCTTCACATTTAACAGCCCTCATTGACGGGCGAGTTCGCCTAATACAGATGGCCGCTTCGTCTGCCTTGAAGAGGAAAAGCAAAGCCTCTTCTTGCCAAGCCTTTGACGAGAATAAAAAATCTACGCATCCAAGAATATTATTATTGCCGTAATATAATAATTGGATATAATTATATAATTATTATCGTAAACTAGAGAGCGTCATTGATCTTATTAACTATAATATTTTATTATCATCATTGAATTTTAACATATTTTAAGGAAAATTATTCGTATTGTCTAAGTGAAATTCCATTGAGGTTAAAAAATGTATCTTTCTCCATACTATTGTATGGAGAAACTCTACTAACTCTACTAACTCTAAAGATACAATGTTTCAAAAATCTGTAATTCTTTGACTGATCAATATAGCGCGACCTTTATTTTTCATCATATGGATCAAAGCTGATAAATATGAGCAAAAATATATGAGCTGATAAATATGAGCAAAAATTTGGATCGATTTTATAATTATTATGGCGCATCGCATGAGATCATGATAGTTAAATTTTGCACGCACATCATATACGAGCAGCAACATCAGCGCTAAGAATCTTTGCTATAGGTGAACTTTCTATGAGAAAGTGTCTTTTAAGTTAATCACTTTCATATATCAAATAATTTTTATGCATATCACTAAACTTTAAATCTTCTATCCTAAAAACCATGAAATCCGTGATATTTATTTTGCTCAATTAATTAAACGTTGATAATTGGATATCGACGCTAACGAACTGAAAATTTACCACTTAATTGAATGATTGATTCGACCGCTCCACATGATTAACGCGAGAAAAGGGCCATTAAATGGTCTAATGATAATAATAAAGGGCCTAAATACTCTAATTAAGCAAAACTCTGGAGCAGGATTAACGTTGAAATTCCTGGTTGATATACAGCGCATGTTTTTAAATTATGATATATAAAGTTTTTTATTGTGACTATTAAATTATCGGTCCTAAAATTCACTCTGATCATTGAAATATTCCAAATGCAGTGTTTGTATCTCAAAAAGAAAAAACATAAAAGAATAATGCTTCGATGATTCATCGTTTTCCGTTATGTGTAATCATTGTGAAACCTATAACTATTATTGAATACCGTTTTTTAGAATAAGGTTCTCTTTAAAAACGAAAAGAATTCGCTACGAGACTTCTGTACCCTCAAGTTTTTGCTTATAGTTGAATTATGTTTGAATTTAACAGTTGCAGAAACTTATTAATTCTTTAAGTATATTATCAGTTCATTACTGTCGAAGCAGCTCAACGAAGAATATCGTCAACGATCTGAAGATGCGGAGGCCAGCGCCAGCTGCATAAGTAATTTTGAATGTTATTCATGAAACTCTATACATTATTTCACTTATAAACTTAAAAAAGCATTCTGTGCTAATGATCTGCTGCATTTAACCATTGCGTAACAACCTTCTTTAGTTTCTGCAGTTTATTTTCATCATTCGATCATTGATTGAGACGAACTTCGAGCCGTAGCTTGCTTGAATCAATATTTACCAGATCGACTTGGACGAATATTTTTATAAAGCGGTCACAAAGTGAAGAGGCTAGGCCCGTCCACTTGCCCTCTCGTCCAGGAGTCGATGAGATGGTGGAGCGTCTCATTGGTATTCATCCCTCCCGTTCGTGCGATCACGATCAATCTGGCCAACTTCGGATTCTGGGTCTCGGATAAAAAGTTGGCTGTTTTTAACGTAACTTCAATGTTTGAGTATGACGTGACGGTTCAACGTTGTTTTAAGTCAGTTTTTAAGTTTTTTAGTTTTTAAGTTTCCAAATTAACTGAAGTTTCTTTTGTTTTAATATTTCTTAGCTCAATACCAGTTCATACTTTTGTTGACGCAAACATGGGCGATTGCCTTGAGCCAAGTATATGTTTAGCTTCAAAGAAATGTTTTATCTGGATAAAAAACATTTGCACTTCCTCGTCTATATAAAAATATTATTATTCCCTCACATATGGAATGTTATTATGCCTTAACATTTGTCGTTTGGCAGAAATACGCAACTAGAATTTAAGTGTAAATTATTTCAACCCACCACATCAAATTTCCACTCCCATATACCGGCCAGGGTATTAATATTCAATTTTGGATTGATCGGAAAAGTGGAGTGAACAAACATTTACCGTACACAAAAATCGAAGGCTTAGTTTTAATAACATTCGTTTAAAAATTATTTTTTGAAGACAACACTTCTAAAGAATCCAGTGTCTCCGGTATTACACATGTACAAAGAATTTCTAATTTTATTATGAAACATTAAAAAGTAAATTTTTTTAATTTTATTATAAAATTAATTTTTTTCAAAATTATCTATTCTGGCAATTAATTCATGCATTGTCTCCAACTTTACACAAGTGTGCAAAATCTCAAAGAGGTAGAAGTGTGTTAAATATCGCTTATAAGATTTGTAGCAGTCAGACAAACAAACCAAACAAACAAACAAGAAGTGAAATTAAAGAGAAGTGTTGTAAAAATGAACACTGATAGAATGACAGAAAAATATCATCGTTAGGCAGGAGTCCATACAAAAGCCTTGAGGATGGCCGGAAAAATGCAAATCTCATGGAGGCAAATCTATGGTTGACCCCGAGAGGCGCAGGCCCCGGAAGACAACAGAGATCTCTCAGTGAGATTATCTGCTCAAAAGTCTCTTGTGTGTCGGCCGGCGCTGAGCCGCAGAATTTGGAGCGATTCCAAGACCTTTCTGTAGTCTCTGAATATCATGAGCTAGAAAAACCAATTCTATTTCCACTGAAATTTTAATACGACTTTTTTGAGGAGGTTGTCGCAGTGCGATGATTCCTGCACTGGGCCAATTTTTGTTCAACTGGTTAAGGACAAGCGTAACAAATTTCCAGATTAACATAACTAGCCGGAAGTTTAAAACAAAAAAAGTTAGGATGCAATAATACAATTTAACTTGAGAATTTTCGGTGGTTCACTCAAAAATAAAACATCGGTTATAAATTTAAAAAATACCTAACTTTAAATGCATTCAAATTAAATCGGCAGTTTTACAACCAAGAAATGTTTGTGAGCACAAACTTTTTCTTTTCGTTCTCCAGTTTATACTCGGTCCTCTTTTCGGAGACAAGGCCGCGCAAATTAATTTCAGAAGAGGTTGTTTTTTTTTACAGCGAAATACCATTTATTCACTATACTTCATTTCCTCAGGGCAAGGTATGTTTATTTTAAAAACCTCCATCAATCTGCTTTACCCTAAATGATTCAGACTCAATAAATAAACAGTGGGGAAGAGAGCTAATACAAGATGATGGAGTATGCTGAATACGGTATCTTTAAAACTAAAATGGAGTTTCTTCATTGTTGGAGAATATCGTGTGTATTATTAATCTAGTAGGCCTTTTAAATCTCACATTTACGATATAAATAATATGAGTATTTGTTTTTGAACTGTTTATTTGGGTTTGGTCTAAAACTAAACATTTGCAGAAACAAAGACAAAGGGTGAGGAAGCGAAGCGATCTGAGATTTCTCGACATCAATTCATATCAAAACTTCTTTATCACGCTGTTTTTGAAGGAAGCCACAGTATTTTAATGTTTTTGTTCATTTTTTGGGCAAACAATGAAAATGGAATACGGATGACTGAAAATATAGCTAGAACTGCTTTACACATTTTGAAGTTATTATTTACATACTCGAACATGCATTGTGCCCCAGCAGGCGTCCGAATCTTGCCGACCTCCTGTGAAGTGCAGCTTCTCCACGACCGTACACAGACGCGTGTTTGTACAAGACGGCGACACGCTCCAGGTGGTGCTCCAGATCACGGATGAACCGCCAGACCTGACTCCTCATCTGACACAACCAACAGCAACAAAAAATGAACAATTTATCAGCCCCCTGGTGTATGAGAGCGTGTCAACCAAAAGCAGTTCAGAACCTAAAAGTCAGCAGCCTTTGCAGCGTTTGACTCCTTCAGATGAAGAGCATGAAAGTTTGAAAAGTATGACAACTGTTTTAATGCCTACGATGACCCCTTCCACCATAACTTCTTCTTTTAACTACAATAAGACTGACACAAGAAGTAGCGTTCATTACTCGCTAAAGAAAGAAGCACTGCCTCAAGATAAAGCCGACGAGGAAGAGACAACCGATGAGCTTAAAAATGAAATATCGGGAGCATCGAAACAAAAGGCGGCATTAGCTCTTCTTTCGCAGGTTTGGCGGCATTTTCGATTTTTAGATATGTAAAGATTTATGTAGAAATAAGAATTCAAAATCTGCATTATTAATGTGGTTCAAATGTGTGAATTCATATTCATGGTGGCCTTTTTATGTAGTAGTTTGTCGTTCATCGTTCGTATTATAAACAGACCGTTAAAAATTTCATGTCTGCCAGTATTGTAGTTACTTATTGTTATTTGGAACACTCGCAACTCCGAATGAATTAAAATGACCGTTTTTTTATTTATAAGGGGAAATAAATAATTTTTGTGTGAAACAACTGCATTATTCGAATGTTTAGATGTGCTTTTAAAATTATATTGTCTTTCTATTATTCATGATTCTATCAATGTAGAAACAAGTTTTGTCATCACTATCAATGAGATGCACTTTCACTTATCTCACAAAAAAATAAAAACTTAGCCAGAAAAATTTCATAAATGAATCTTCATCCGTCGATAAGCCACTCGGCCAAAAGTTCCCTTCACTTTCCAACAATTTTTTGGTCTCATCTATTAACGGCCTTCCATTGACAGGCAAATAAAGCAAAAGCTGCCATGCCGGATGGAAAGCCGTCTAAACTTTTGACTCGGCTCCAGCCCGTAACTTCGGAAGAAAAAAGTGGACGGAGAGACGAACCCTTGGGCGTTTCCGCTCCCTCGTTCTCGAAAATATCTGCCCCCTCCCACAAACAGACTCCTGGCCTCGAGCCCTCGGCTCCCTCTCTTCAGTCGGCTCCCTCACCCAACAAAAACAGCGGCGCCTTAGCAAACGAGACTTCCCCAGACACACGGACGCCGGTGCGCCTTCAGACTGTCGCAGCGTCGAGCGAGTCACTCATCCGCAGACAAAAGAGGGCTCCACAGATTCTTATGACCCACACGGAATCTGATGATAAAATAGCTGACGCTGCAAACTCACAGATGGCTCTGCCCAGGATCTCGTCGTTGACTCTTTGGAAGGTACGATGCTCAAAAATATTTGCGAGAAAAGAATATATATTTAGAAAATATAATAATATATTTTATATTTTCTAAATACAATAATATATTTAGAAAATATAAAATTTACAAAAACTCGGTCAATGATGCCAGTTGATGCTCCTTTATTTACATACGCAGTCCTTGTGCTGAGCCCTCCTACCATCCTACATCGCAGGTGAGCGTGTCGGAGTGGGTGTCCTGCAGCACGAGGGAAGGCGGCCAGGTCGCCCAGAGCGGACCTGAGGGCATCGCTACCCTCACCCCACACGACCTGCAGCCTGGCACCACGTACTTCATCGGTCAGTAGCCTGCCTTGTGACCTGCAGCCTGGCACCACGTACTTCATCGGTCAGTAGCCTGCCTTGTGACCTGCAGCCTGGCACCACGTACTTCATCGGTATTTGCCTCCCATGTGAATTTTCCTCATCTAAGATAACTTTTACATCTGAACACTATACTTTGGTGATTATCAGCTACTAATTCAGTTTGAATGTGTAGAAATTTACTCCTAAATAAGGAACCTGTCTAGGTTTGTAATTCAATTTATAATCGCTTCACGTTGAACTAAATTTTCAAAAATACTCTTTGATCCTCATTTATCATCCGTAATTTTCTTAACATCATCCCATAATCGTCGAATTTTAATTTCTTTGGGGGGGTTGTAGTCAACATTCTTTGTTTTTGGCAGTTTTGAATTAACATACATGTTAGGTTCAAGTTTCACTCTTCTTGTTGCAATCATCTTCAGCAAGCTTGATTCCCTATTTTCATGTCTTCGACTTTTCAAAAACGGCATATCCATTGAATTTCCTTGATTTTCATGCCGTCTAGATTTCTCTTCCTCTGAGTTACGCGTACTAAAAAACTTGGTTTTACGGAGATTCGTTCGAAATATCATGCGTCTCGTTATGCTTCCCGAAAAAAAATAAGCCTACTTGCCTTCCACTTTACATACGGACCTCGAGCGAGCGCGATCCCAATCTTCACAATTAACATGTCGACTTCACCTCGTAATTTTGCCTGCGAAGTCCTGAAAAGTTCTTGAAGACTTTTTAGTCTACTTTGAAGCTCACCCTTTCCCTGCATACGGTGGCAAATTTTTGCACGTAGTTTTTACTCACAATGTGTGAAGAATAAAGTTCCTAATGAGGCTTGAGGAACATGACTTGCACGAAAGCTGACCACCGCAAATTTTGGCCAAAAAGAAGGTGCTATGAGCTGACGCAATCGACGTTTGGGCGACCTGATGTGCCTCCTAAGACCGCAACTGAACTCAACGGTGCCACGGAACGGGTTTAAAATTGCAATGTAATTTTAGGAAGGTCTTTGCACGTGCTTTGGTTGTCGAGGTAATTTCCTTTAACATGTTCAGATACCTCAGAGCATTTCATTTAATTTTATTGCAGTTGCTAGGGACAGGAAAAAATTTCAGCGTTGAAAAATTTGATTAAATCCGCTATATTTTTAATTTATGAAATTAATCTTAATCATGCCACTGCAAGGTGAGTTCTTCATTAACCAAACTAGGAATATTTTTTCTAGATTGTACATGAAGTACAATCTTAATACTTTCGCGAGTTCGACTATAATTTCGACAGAGAAGATGAATAAAAATCCACTCAGTTGGTCCTTCGAATTATGCAATGGGCCTCGAGAAAGCATAATTCGGTGAAATTTTTCAATAGCAATTTATCCGTTAACTCTTTAGCCTATTTTCAGAAATCTGTTAAATTCTACTACTAAAAATCGTCACCAAATAATTCCGTCATTTTCTTCGATATTGCACCTCAGAAAATCGGTCCACTCCATCCCTAATTTTTTTCTACGAGCTTCATGCATAAAATCTATGCTGATTGAATAAGTGGCTTCTCCAATCCTGTCAACTTAAGCCACTACTTTGCAAATGAAGTTAGGGCTTTGCTAAAGATGACGAACACAAGTTTGAGAAGCCCCAAACTTTCTCGCTGGCGCTCATAGTTTACCGTGCATTTAAAACATCATTAGCATTCCACACGGCAGGACACGACGCTCTTTTTCGGACAACTTCTCAAGTTTGATTCCTTGTGGTGGCAGCAAACTCATTAATTTTAATTTTTTAAGAACTTCACGGAAATATTTTGACTTGAATAAATTATCTTCGACGTCGACCTTATAAAAAGACCAAATAATCCAAATCGAAAGAAATTTTCTAACAGATTTACTGACAGAAATTCCAATCGACTTCAGTTCTCTCTGATCGTTTTATCAGCTCACTGAAATGCCGTTCCCGTCGGAAAAGCAACGGTTTTTGGAACTAGTTCAGTCAAACTTATTTTGGATGACTTCATTATCGGTTTATTTCTTTGTGCCCATGCCTTTTATATTAATGAAAATTATGAAATATGAAATACATTTCTAGTTTCTTATTGCCGATTCGTCATTAAGGTATTATTCGGAATGTTGTTTTCAAAAGACTGAGTAAATAAACATCACTTTGCCAAGTGAACTTTCAGAATTTGAAACTTTCGCAATTGATTTTCTAACGAACCTCCAAGACAACTTTATCTTTCTAATGAAGCTTTCAATCAATATTTTTGAGCCAGGCGTAGAAGCACCGCTGTAATTAGAACCAATTTAAAACCAGAATATCATCAGAAGCAATTTCCACTTCACATACTAAATGTATTTTAATTTTTGTAATATCCTCATTCCATTAATTCCTCCAGTTTGCCCTTTATATATACGAAACAATTACCAGGTCGGTCGTCGTGGTCAAGTTCAGAGTGCTTCAAGCTTCAGGTTACGGTCCGGTCGGCCGAGTGTGGCGAAGGCTCGCTCTGCTCCGGCAAGGGAACATGCCACGCTAACTCTTCCATGGTGAGTGCTATTAATACCTAAATTCAATATATTCACGTGATGAATGAACATGAATAAGGAAGAAATTTATTGCTGAATGTTCCGCCTAGTATGGCGAAGGCTTCATCTGCTCCTGCAAGGAAACCTATTTTTAATGAACTAACGTTTTCAAAAAATATGTAAAAAATAAGGACATCCTAGTCAAATTTAAATTAACGTATTGGTAATTTTTTTGCATTTTCAACATTGAAAATAGTTGTTTTCTTCGGGTTTGAAAAAATCGATTGGCCGACGTATTTCAACGAGAAACTAAACTGTACATAATCAATTACTTAAACATAATAGTTTGCTAGCTAAATTCAAGCCTCCTGTTGTAAAGACAAGACAGCAAGATCTCATTCGCTTTAAATTATTTAATGTGATTTTTCTTACTATTATATTATTTATTTAACACTGATTATAGATTTAAATAATATCACGAATGTCTCACCTCATATTAATTGGGCTGTATTTGTTATTTCAGTATCTGGCGTTGAAAAGAATTTGTATTGTTTCTATAAACGAAGAAATTTTAATTGAACATAATCCCAGTTTATAATAAATTTTTATTAACTCTGTTTCAAACTAACAAGTAAATAAACAAAATCTGTCGGAATAAATAATTTAAGTCAAATGCTGCTGAATTCTTCAGGCCGATAAAAATACCCGAATCGGTTATTTTTGCTCAAAAATATGTCACAAAATAATAATGTAGGCTTGACTATTTTACACTGATAAAATAATTTAACATTTTTTTACCCGTTGCACTAGTAGATGAATACTAAGTGATCAACTTCTATTTTACCGGCAAAGTACAAGTCTGAACCAAGTTAGCATACCTATACCACACTGTCAAGGAAATGCATTAAGGAGGCTAAGGTAGCATGGACAATGCCATGCATCGGTATAACCTCAGGAGAGCTTATATGGCAAGAAGATCTCGAGAGCCCATATTTTCATGGAAGAAAGTGCATGTCAAGGCCGTAACATCGTACAAGATACACGAGAGCCCGTATCGCCCCAGCTGCAGGCATGTGCAATTTCCTTGATCGGGTCATCGTAACCCGGAAAGCTGCTTTACAGCAATTGAGGAACAAGAAAAGCTGTGTGCATTCTTTGGTGAATTGGCGGAGGCTTTTTCTACATCCTGAGCGATTGGCGCTGATAGAGGGCCTAATGAAATTTGTTGAGAATTCGATGACGCTTTTGTTTAGATGCAGAGAGTTTGATTACCTTACTATTGCATTTAAAATTCAAACACATTCAATGACGCATCATCTAACTTCTGTGATTTCATTCTCTACGGCTTTCCAGTGTGCTTGGTTCTGTAATTGAAGTCCAGGCTTCACGTATTGCTTGATATGTCGAAGAACTCGTGTGCTCAAAAAAAATTTTTAACGCAGCGTTTTTGCTGGCTTTCCTATCGTTGTCGTGTGAACCCTTTATCATTCAATTAACCTCACAAACTTTTCATCGTCCAACTCAATATGATATTGTACATCTTCAATTAGGGTTTGACATTGTGCGAACGAAATATATTATTTGCACTTCATGCGCTCGGAAGAACGACCAGGCCTGTGAACGGAAGCTCGTGCATGTACAGCCTTAACGAAAGAATAGTTATATCTAACTCATGGTGTTTTCAGCATCAGTAATTTAATTAATATTTGATATATTGATATTCATTTTTTAGATTGTCAAACTGTCGATGGAGCTGTACTCTGAAATTTTCAATATCGAAATGACAAATTTGCTTGTCGGTTTCTTTGCATTTATAATCCTTGTGAACGTTCTATTTACTGATATATAAATATCAGTACTTACTGATTATAAGACTGATAATATAAGTATTGATATTAAAGGGTTAAGTGTCTTCCTCAGGAACACTTCCAGTGTGCGTGCTGCCCAGACTACATGGGATCGCACTGTGAAGAACTGGACGCTTGTCACTCGCAACCCTGCCTCAATGACGGCATCTGCGTGGACATACAAGAGGGACACGACGGAAACACATTTCAGTGCTTGTGTCCATACGGTAAGGGCAAGTTAATTCTAATTGCATTTTGTGTTTTGGTTCAACTGTGACTCTGCGATAGTGGAGATGCGATCGGGCAAGAAGTTTCAGTTCTTGTGCTTGCATCATTAATTTCCTACTTCTTGTCTCGAAGAAATCCTAGATAAACATTGCTAACGTTAATGAATAACCTGATTTAAAGGGTTGAATTATTTAATGCAAATTCATACGACGTCAAATTGCAAGCCACGTCTCTGTTTTTGTATCTAGTTTTTTTCTCTTTTTTATTGTTTAAAAATCACATTCAGAACGTAAATTATACGACGGCAGTGAAATTGTTGATTTCGTTTCTTCGTATAGCATTAGGAGTACATCAAAGAAAGATCAGACATTAATCTAATTCCTTCGAACATTCTTGCCTGTTTTGTTTGGTTTGTCTATTCTGTAATGATTTTCAGGATGGGCTTTGTTCATAAACGTAGCCGGTTTACCTTGCAATATTTTGATATCTGAACATATTTGAAATCTCCTAAACAACACCCTTGAAATTAATTAATTGATTAAGTTTGCATACAAATGAAAACTATATTTGAATAACGGTTGCTAAATTATTCCACTTTATACAAATTAAAAAAATTATTATAGCTAGGAAAGCCTAGAAATACTTTAGCAGGTTAAAATTTGCGCAAAATTTCCCAAATTGGCGAAGTTCGGCTCCCAATAAGGGAGCATGAGGAGCGCTAAACTTTTCTTCATTGAGAACGACGAAGGCAATTTTCACTTGAAGATCGAAGCTTTTTCGTCATTACTAAAAATGTATGCTTTTTTCCGAAGATCTGTAGATTCACATTCACTTTCTTGAATGATAAATGCATTTACACATCAGGTATCCCTGCGAACAAAAAATCTGTGCTATAAGGGAAAACAAAACATTCGAGATGGTAAATTTACCATCATGTTTTCGCTTTATTTTAGTTTCTACTTAATCTACTTTAGTTTTTCTGGAAGAGAGTTTCAAGCCATTTATGTTACATTGTCAATCTCGACTTTAATAAATAAATAGTCATATTTTTAGTTCACACCATTATTTCATCCACGCAAAGGTAATCCCGGTAATTAAATAAACCTATTATCTTCTTGAATAATTCTTAGATTTGTAGGTTTGGTCATTGACATTGATTCTTCCTATGTTTTTACATTCAATTATTTATTAATTCTTACCATGCCGGTAATTTTACTTGATTTGATGCTATATTAGACATTTACTTGCGTTATCATGGTGAAAAGAAAGAGGTCACTTCAAGCTGCTGTAAAACATAACGTTTTAACCCACGAAGAAACCATCGTCTACCTGCAGTCAGGGCTCCCACACTAGCTTAGATACAGCAGAAACCTTGAATTATTCTCAAAACATGAGTTCTGAGACTATGTCTGAGTTTTTTAATGTTTGGCACACAGGTAGTTGTTACAACGCCCGAGTGTAAGCATAAGCAAGTGGATTGAAGCCGGGCATTGTTTGTTCAGGGGACCAAGTGGCGGGCGGACTTAATCAGACTTGCTAGGGCAGACCTGGCGGCTGAGGATTTTCAAATTGTGTCGATGGTGTGCATATTAGGAAAGGAAAATGAGTTACGAAGTTTTTTGTTTACTTGACTCAGTTTAAAACTTACCTGTGCGTTAATAAGTAATATTGTAGAGCGCTTCCTCAGTACCTTTGAACAACAATTTACGGAAAGTGTATAGTGGTATTAAGGTAAATAGGGTATATATAGGAGGTAGCACTTTATGGTATGGAATTAGATCATACCAAGAAAGATACTGGGTTCAATAACCAAACCATGATGATCAAATTTAAAGGGTAAACCTTCCCATTTACAGATTTCGTCTGTTTCCATGAATTTCTAATTGTAAAAATTCATTTTCCTCGCTGCAAGTTAATTCTAGATAATCAATGTAAATGGAAAATTATTTTCACCCCAATGGTTTTATCAGCAACGAACGTAACATAATTACCGTTAAAAAGGGAAGCAGTTCAACTTGAAAACCATCCGCTAATCTTAGAACCGCTTTTCACAGACTCAAAACTTGAGCCAATTTCACAGGAGGCTAAAAGCTTAAGAACAAGTTGGCGCTCAGCAACTTTAGATCAGGCTTAAGTCAGTGGCGCGTTTAGTTCTGGACCCTGCAGTCATTGCGCTATCTGCTAGTACTCCTGGCGGGGGCTTCGTCTGATGAAATTACAGGTCTGCGGGCTCGGGGGAGCCATAAACGTGACAAGAATGGCTTATCGCCGCGGATGTTATGCTTGCTTTTTCTAAGTCGATCTGCGAACCGCAGCTTGAAGAATTACATGCGCAGTGACGGAAATGTTGTTCGAAAAACTTGTCTACTGTATATCTGGATAATCTCATCGTTATTTTCAACTGAAGGCAAACATATAAGCTTTTTTTTACTTTCTCTAATTCATTCCATTTCTTGATGAAATTGTAGCGTGATGGCAATTCATTCATATTTTCCAACTCAACCTTCAACGTTTTCCCCTAAAGATTCTTTCGTAAGTGCCTCCTTGTTCTTTGAAGTGATGGTTCCTCAATGAATTTTCGAGGGTTTTCCTCTTGTATATAGTGCATTATCCTAATTATCTTCTGAATATTAGCCCTTGGTATCGAATGACTTTAATCAAGTGAGTGGCGAGATGAATGACTGCTTTTACTGGACCCCCTTCTGTTTTAGGTACGAACTGAGACTCGTTATGCATTAATTCAAAGTTACAATTTAACTTATTTGGTATCCAAATCCCCTGTGCTGCTAACAAATACGCTGGGTAAAGAATCTTTTGAGATCAAAGTTGGAAAGCAGTTCGTTTTCCGCTGAGGCTCAGGAAGCTGGAATGGTGCCAGCTCTGAGATAGAGGAGCAGCGTAGTTAAGGGTGATAACAGGCTATAATTCAGTGTCATTATTAGAGATAACGGTCAACTCTCACTTCAGATGCTGCACATCATTATTAATGCCATCAAAAATATTTCTACTAAAATAAAGTATAGAAACAGTGAAGTGCATTCCTTCGATTGTTACCTCATACAATTTATGTTTTCGTTCGACAATTCCCATAACATTTTCGCCAAGCACAATCGTTCAGTCGATTTTCTCGGCTCTCCAATTAATAGACAAAAACATTTCTACAAAATAACTGGAAGAGTCTACACTAATTGTTTTTAGCAGATAAATGTGATAGCCCTGTTTTTATTTTCATTGCGATATCACGACTCTCGAAGCTAATTGCTTTCCTTCAATGAATTCTAATCGAAATTTCAGTTTCAGGTGCGACATTTGTTCCTGTGCAATTTTCGACACTGAACATTTGATTAATCCTCCATCGCTGTAATTTCAATTGAATACATTTTTCATGTCATAATCATAGATTTCTGTACAGATTTTATCTGCTGTTTTATGACCAAACATTTTATTATTTTTTCTATTATCAGTATTTTTTTAGAAAAATTTATAATCCTTTGCTAGTCAAAAGATTTTTACGCATTTCCAAAATTTTCATAAATAAATTTCGCGGGAATTCTAACGATTGTTATTGATGCTTCTGAGAATCCACAGCACATGCTACAAAATTTCTTTTTGTTTTAGTAGAGAATTCTTATATGTGAAAGCAAGCTGTTCCGATTATTCAACTAAACTTTTGCAAGATTTCCATTGTTCTATTTTATTTGTTTAAAATCATTGATACCGATCAAATTCAATGATTACTCAATGTGAATGATTCACGCGGCTCATCTATTTTTATTTTAGTAAGATTTTTTTATGTAGGTTATATAGGTTTGCCGTATTTTTTTGCTCATTCAATGCATTTTGAAACATTTTACAATTATTTTACACCTATGTACGTAACTTAGTATTAGGGTGACTAGATGTCTATAATCATTCATTTTTTTCTGCCACAATTCATTGCTCAATTTAATAATAACTTTTTGCCTCAAAACTTCCATTATTCAATTTAACTATTCTATTCATTCTGTTCGTCTAGAGCACCAATCATGGACTGAGCACCGTTTAATTTTAATAAAGAACACGTTTTAATTCGCACCTTGTGAATGGTCATCACTGTTAAGTTTTTCATTGTCGAACATTTTGTCCGCATTACAGTTTCTCGCACTGCATTATTTTCTACCGAGGAGAGCGAATTATTGAAGCCGTCTGGAATTATTTTACCGTTGTTTTATGTAGCTTCTAAATTGGTGTTTTTTTCCAACGATTCTATCAATCTGAAACGTTGACACTTCAATGGGACGAATAATGCTCTCTGAAGTCTAATTAAATAAACTTTGAGATTTTATAAAGAAAGATTATTTGTGTGATAATGTAGCTGATCGCGGTAAAATTTAGTTTATACATACATTCAATAAAATATTCCTTCGATCGAAGAAGATGCTTGAATTCATCTAACTTTTTTCATTTGAAAAATTTTCCGCATGAGGCAGTGGCTCACGGGTCTAAATTAAGCCAACGAAAAAGATTAAAAATAATGGCTGCCTTGGGAAAACTTTTGAGCCAAGAAGTTTGAAGACGCAAAAAGTGAGAATTTCGGGGCTGAATGATTACTTGCGAAAATTTCGAAGTCTTTTCGTCACTCCGAAGGAAAATTTGAGTACAAACTTGTGAAGAAAGGCGCATCAAAGTTACTGAACATAAGGTCAATAACCATAGCTGAACAGCACAGTTCAAATTTCTGATTATTTCACGAAATATTTCATCCCTTCAATACATACTAAAAATTCTTAAGGTTTATATTGAATGGTATGAACGGAATGATGCAGGTTATTTTTTGATCAGACTTCAAAATTTTCAAGTATTCATGCATGCCTTCGAAAGTCATAAATTTTGAATAATGATAGGTATTTTAAGGATCAATTTTCAGAATTGCTTAATTTAATTTAAAAACCATAAAATGTATTGATCAATCGTCGATATCTGTAATTTTTTATGCACATATTTCATTGTCATGACCATGGAAGAAAAGAGACAATTTCTTAATCTACCTTCGATATTTCCTAGGTTTTTAAACAGTCAAATGACATGATTTTGCGTATAATACAATTTTTAGATCAGCTCCAGCAATTTTATATGAGTTGTGTTTGAGAAGAAGGGTTTCTTCCTCACATGTTTCTCGTTGCGATAGCTAATATGTGCCTGGGGGGTTAGCCGTGGCAGTGTCCCGGAGATATTGTAGATTTGGGATGTGGATGGTCTTATATAACGGCACTCCGGTGCCATTGTCACGTTGATATTTCCTGCTCACTGAGAACTTCCATTGGCCATAGTTGAGCCTTCGACTTGTTGGTCTCAAGCTCCAGATCAATTCGGAGATGCTGACCTTATTCAGATATCATATTATTAATTTTCCGTAGAAAATTTTTAATTTTAGCATCATAAGTCGTTCATGAGCGGATAAATTTTGATTGCATGAGATTTTATTTAATTTATATTATTTTTTCCTATTGAAATATGAATAATCGCCAAAGGCAAAATTAAACTCAAGATTTACATTCACCTGATATTTCGAAATAGAAAATAATATTTAAAAATAAGTTCCATACTTTAATTTTGACCGGCTAGCTGGAACATCAAAATAAATATTAATTTTATAATATTAGTTATTAATTAATATAAATTAAATTTGCGTTGAAGATGAGCGTATAGGTTCTCAAGAATGTTCGTGAGATTGCAATTTTCCTTTTGGAATTGAAAAATATCTATTGGAGTCCATAGTATTCGTTCACGGATGGCCGGGGTGATGCTTGCTAGAAAAAAATTCACTTATCATTTTGATGGACAAATTCATTGTGAAATCGCATTTTTGCGTCCCCGCGATTATTTTTCTGTTGGAATGAGCATTTTTCATATCAAACTCTATAACGAACTCACTGGTGGTTTTTCTCAAGATGCCGAGGTCATTTTTGCTTATACAAATTTTTTCTACTTTCGATAAAACGATCGCTCGCGGAATCAATGACGGTTTCTACACGTGAGACCGAGACGGTATTTAGCGCATAAAAATATGCATTTAAAAATTACTTTTTTAAGACAACACTTCTAAAGAGACCATTGTCTCCGATGTTACACATGTACAATGAATTTCTTACTTTATTTTTGAATATTTAAAAAAATATTTCTTAAATTTTTTTTAATATATAAAAAATATTTAAATTTTTAAATTATTTATTCTATCAATTGATTCATGCATTGTCACCGACTTTACGCAAGTGTGCAAAATTTCAGATCGATTGGACAGGTAGAAGTGTGTTAAATATCGATTATAAGAGTGGTAGCAGACAAACAAGAAGTGAAGTTAAAGAAAAGTGTTGTTATAAAAACGTTCCTTCTACTTTCGATACAACAAACAAAATGAGAGAAGTTTTCCTCACTAGATACAGAGGCCATGTTTGGCGCATAAAAAAGCTTCTACTTTCGATACAACAAACAAAATCACAGAAGTTTTCCTCACTGGATGCCAATGCCCTGTTTGGCGAATTAAAAAAGTTCCTTCTACATTCGATACAACAAACAAAACAAAAACGTTTTCCTCCCAGGATACCGAGGCCGAGTTTGCGAGCACCCATCGAACTTGTGCGAGTCTGCGCCCTGCAAGAATGGGGGCTCCTGTGAGGGCAACCACTCGGTCTACAGCTGCTCCTGCTCCCCTGGCTGGTCAGGACCTCAGTGCTCCCAACCTGTCCCCACTCTGGCCGCGGCCACGCTTGATCAACTCCAGCAACAAGACAGGTATTCAATTACCGACTTCAGTTTTAGTGCAGACTTATCCTTTCTTCATTTGAGACTTCTATCTTTGATATTTTTGAGTTCTGCAAATCTGCCTACATTTTGCAGGCAAGGGATTTCCTGACGATGTGCAAAACACGCCAGGATAAACCTCGAATTAATCAGCAACTAGAATTTCGCATCAGCATTAGTTTATATATGCATAGAAGAGTCGTTGTAGGTATAGAATGAATTTAGTGGCAAGCAATCATTTCCATTTTAAATTATACTCTCGCGCCAATGTTATGTTATCAATTCTTCCTCATGCAGACGTTTGCATAATTTATTGAAACAACTGTCTTCTATTATATGATTTAACTAAGATGTTGAACGACGTTTTTGCAGCTTTTGAAATAATCCTTGACGATTAGCATCTCACTTTGCTCTATTTATTGCACTGTTATTCTTATTTAATTCGAACACAACACGTAAACTCACTTTTGAAATTGGAAACTCGAACACAAAGTTAAGCCGAGGTAAATATTTCATTTCTCCGAAGGTTTTATTTGAAACCGCACCCCGACTACGGCAACCAGCCGGAACAGGAACCTGATTTCGAGCGTCCGACTCCGACTCAAAGCTCTCAGGCTGACGAGGAGCAACAGAGCGTCTCTCTTCATCCAGAAATTCCGTCTTCAGAAACATTTGAAAGTTCCCACGACAGCGAAGAGGAGACCGAGAGCTGCGAGGCGCGGCCTTGTGTGCATGGAGTTTGCATCGACACGCCAACCCAGTCTTTCCGATGCTTCTGTCAGCCTGGTGAGTGCTCGTTTTCTTATGAACGTTGTTTTATTATTTAATCAATTACATACAAAATGGGTCAGATGGGTTTTTGTATATATCTATTTTGTTTGTCTAATATAGTTATTTTGTTCGTTAGTTTTTTTTCTGTTGAAATCATGGAAAATTTTAGTAATAGAATTCAATTTCACATTCATGAAGGAATTTTGTCAATACTTGTATTTTTACATTTTCTAATGAATTTGCTTCTATTCTTTTTCCTTATCATGTAGAATATAGTGCTTGAGTCATATTAGCTTAATTTGGCGTTTTTATATAACTTTTGTGAAACACATTCGACCCCATTGACAGAAATCTCATTGACAGAAATCTCTTCTCGACTTCAGTCGCCTTTTCGGTCTAGAACTTTCATTTTCTTGTTGAGTAAGCACAAAAGAACTCTCACCGAAAGCATTAAGGGTGGATCAATTGCAGCCATCCTAGCGGCCCAAACTTGGCATTTCTCTTGTCTGTCTATTGAGAGAAAAATAAGCAAGCAGCAAAAGTTGTCGGAAAGTTGTGCTGGTATCGTGGCCATTACTCGAGAGCATCGCGCTGAGCGTTCCTAGCGGAGATTGCTGAGCTGCGCATCTCTATAGAGGGCAGCGGAGCAGCAGATTGGAAGGCCAGTTGGTTTCTTGTAGCCCCGCGTCTCAGAAGCTTTCCTCCAGCTGCCAGCTCCCCAATGGAGGAGTGTGATGGGAATTTTTATAGGAAGTTGCCCGTCTCTTTTTACAATGCGACTCCATTGAGCTCCTCGATGTATGAGGCTATAGAACTCCATTGAGAGGTCACCTCCTGAGCTGCTCGAAGAAGACGAATCTCTGGATTCCTGGCGAGAACTATTCTATCGAAGCGGAGGTTCTGCGAGGCACTATGTACAGTCGGTTTATTTCAATCTTCCTTAGCCTATCATGCAAGAGTTCCTATTACGGAATCTGTAAGATGTTTCACAATCTCGGAACCTTACACGTCAAAATCAACCTTTCACATCGTTTAAAAAATTCATCCTACTTTCATCAGTCGGTTTCAATTCTGTTGTATCAATTGGATAATTGAGTTAACTTTATACCTGACATGCAATGTGACAAGAATTCCGGTTAATTTTTAAATCAATAAATCTCTCTAAAGTAATGGAATTATATTATTTCTGATTGGCTCCACAAAATTGATGATTTTCACAAAACTGTGTGATTCGTTGTTGAAATAATCCACGTTTTATTTACTATGTCAATTAAACAATACTGAAATCAGAGCTTCAAAAAACAAACATCGACTTCATCAATAACAACTATATATAAACTATAACTTTGATTACCAACTACTACTACTACCTTGATTACTAATTAAATATTATTTAATATTAACCTAGCTCATATCATGAATTTAGCATATAATTCAAGAAATTTGGTAAATAGTTTAATATAGCCGTTATTTAATTTCTTCTACACGTTGACCTCATAATTTAATATTCTAATGCACGTGTTCTATGTAACAAAAACTTCATTGGACTTTCATGCACATCTTAATATTTTACCGGTTTCCCGCCCTTCCATCCTCTAAGGAGAAGTAATCGCTAAACTTGCTACATATATGAATTCAACTTCAGAGTCATTTTATATCTTAAATTCAAGAGCCCTTCTCCCCCAGGCACAGCATTTAAAGAACAAAAAGCATTCTTGAGCCCTCCTCCCTCCTCCGGACACTCATGCACAGCTCTATACTTTTCCCAGGGTTTGGAGGCAACAGATGCGAGTTTGAGTACGACGAGTGCAGCTCTAACCCGTGCTATAACGGAGGCACTTGCATCGACCACATCGGAACTTATCAGTGTCTCTGCAGCCAGGGATACTACGGCAATCGCTGCCAAGCTAAGGTATGTCGCTTCCGAAACTATGATGGATTAATAATTGTCAACTATTACAGGGGTTACTCTTGTTCGTTAAAATACATTTTTGGTCGGGAATCCTCCTTCCGGTATTATGAGTAATTTTGTTAAAGTTCATTTTATTATAGAGACCATGAATGATTCTTTATTTGTGTAATTTTAAAATTTAAATTTCCATGTCTCATTTGATTTGTAAATAAAGAACTTTAAATCTTTCACTGATATTTTAATTTAGATTTAACTCAAACCTAAATCGTCACTTACGGTTCATACTTGGCCACTTGTATTCCTGTGAACAGGGAGAAAAAATTTTTCTGAAGCAACGAAAAATGACGAAATATTTTTAAAAAACCTAGAACTGAATTTTGAATTAACTAAATTGGATTTCAATTCTATCTTTAATTCAATTATGTTTCCCAGTTTTCGTATGGACGATCCTTGTGCTTTGCCAAATAGATTTGAGCCGTTCTTGTAGTTATTTTTCTATTTCTCGCGACGCCTTCGGTTAAGCATTTGCTAAAGTTATATGATAATGATTTGATTTGATAAAGCCTTGTTAAAGCAACGTAAAAGAGGCGATAAAAATTTTTCTTATAAATTTTTGACCTCAACCAACCAACCAATAGCAATTTTCTTTTAAGGCTATTATGTTGTTAGCATAAATAATTTACCCTTAACAATATGTTGTTTTAAGGCTATTAATAAGAATCCAAAAATACTTGAATTTTACAAATATCATTTTAAAAAATAGTTAGAAATGAGCAGCCAAATGAGTAGCCGCTTTCCACTATGGATACTTAGGGTTTGAGTTCTCGATGCTAGAAAAAATTAAAGGTTCTCTCTTCACCGAGACTCTCTCTTCATATAAAAAACTTGAGGTATCGTATAGCAGAGCACGAATGTCCTAAGTCATGAATGCGGAATGGGCAGCTCAAACAACTCCCAACGACTAGAGGAAGAATTAGAGCTTTTAAATCTCATGCCCTTTGGAACAATTTTTTTCAAGCACACGATAATTGAATTCCGGCGTTGAATGGATATTTTGCATAAACTTCGCGTCATGAGAGAGTATTCGAGTCTAGCTGTTCCAAAAAGTGCTCTGCTAAATGAAATGACTTTGGAGATAGCAAACTTGACACGTTTGAGTAACTAATCAACTTTATGGATTAATAGTTATTAAATTAACATTCACAGATGTTAAAATTTGTAAAATTATATGAAGAAATGGCAAAGTAATATATTGTATTTCTATAGTGTTATTGTACTGTTATTGTGTTATTGTACTGTTATTGTGTTATTGTACTGTTATAGTGTTAATTTTTCATTGATTATTAAGCTCACTCAACGAATTTGAAAGCTATTGCTATTAGCATTCGTGTTCCGGGGATTAGAGATTGGAAGTATTTTATGCGACGAAATCCCGCATATAGTTCTGTAGTGGCAGAAAGATGCGCTTGTGGAGGGATCCAGAGCTGTATAGCAGCTGGCGGTGCGCCAGCTGAGTTCTTGGGAGACGTGGCGCCGCTGCTCATTATATTTATTGCAATGCACCGGGCATACTGCTGCTGCTGCTGCTGCTGAAGTTATTCATTGATAATTTTTAGCTTCATTCGTCTAAGACGTTTTTCTTTTTCCGTATAATTACAAGATTCACTATTTCTTTATTTGTCACGCAGCATTTTTACTCGCGTATTCGCTAGACCGGCGAAAATTTTAAACTCAACGTGTTCACAAAATTTCAATGTCAAAACTCTTCTTATTCTACACTGAAAAAAATTTACTTCATTACCATGACATTATATATAGAGGAACAATTTTTCTCGCTAAATTCTTAATTTTCTAGCTAAAGAAAATTTCCAGGAGAATTCGCACTCTTCCTTTTTAATTTATAATGCACACTATTTTCTGGCATGTTTAGCATTTGGGATATTAGAGCTGTTGGATTAACTGACGAGTCAATCAATGTCGGTAAAAAGAACAATGAGGCTCATGAATACAAGTGTATTGTCTCACTCAAAGTTGACGGCTTTCAAATTATATTCAATAGCGCAAATGTTCACTGACAACCCAATTTTGATTTTTCGAATCTTTAAATTCGTCAACAAAATTTTTAATCACGGCACAGTAAGTCTTCCACAGATGAGAACGTCTTAATTCATCTCCTTAATCTTTGTATCACCAAGTTTTATACAATACTGATAGCTTTACCATGTAGCTTACATTTATGACTAACGGGTGTGCAACAGGCTTTTGAATTAATTGAAAGCCACGCATGAGGATCCAATGTGGATTAAGTTCTTTGTTTTGTTTAAAGGTACAACTAATGAGGAATGTATGATGTGAATTAGACGCCTATAGAGTTATTCAATTTTTAATGAAAAACTATTTTGTAAAAAGTGTCAAAAATGGCCCATTGCCCCACCCCTGGGGCAATGGGCCCATGGGCTTGGGGCAAGGCGCCTACCACTGGTCCCTTTACCACAATTGTATATTTTTCGTTTAGAAATGATAAAACAACACTTTACAGTTAAAAATAAGAAAAATGTAATAAAAAATATGACATTCGTTCATTTACTAACAACTCAAAAAATCATAACCTTAACTTGAAAAAAATAAACTTTTGGCTTAAAAAATCTATCACTGACGTGAAAAAAAGTATTTCATTTACATAAAAATATATACCATTGACTTGAAAAATATATCCTTGCGATAAAAGATTCGTCCTTGACATGAAAAAATGTATCCTTGACTAGAAAAAATATATTTAGTTGATCAGAAAAAAAAACTTCGATCCAGTTTCGTCCATAATACAGATATTATGTGCAGAGAATTCGTACCTAATCGTGATTTCAGCCAACACCATAAAAACTCATAAACTTTTGGCTCACTGGTGTTGACTGAAATAAACTTTTGGCAAGGCAAGAGTCAATAACTCGATAAGGGGTCATAAATACGCATAACTATAAACTAAACCTGCTGCCTTTTGGCGGCAAATAAAAAAATCATGCAATATTAAGTGTAATTTGTAATTCAAAAAGCTAGTCATAGTTTTGGAAAGGTCATTCAGACAAATCTAATGATGTATAACACAAGATTTCACCATGGGCGCTTTGCCCCGTGACACGCGTGGGCCCGTTGCCCCACTAGGTATCATTTCAATTTATATCGTGTCAACATTTTATTTTAAAAGCTAATAGTCTAAACTTGTTCTCAAAATTATCCCTATAAATATAGCTTTCAAAATATAATTCACAGTAATTTCAAAAGCTTCATCTACAGTAATCGAAAACAGTTTTATTTAGCAGCAAAAAAAATTTTATCTGAGCTAAAAACAGGTATTCGCAAATAACTTAATAACGCAAAGACTTAACGAAACGTAAATCCGTACACTTTATCCCAGTGAAACTGTCGACCGGCGGTAGAGAACACGGACCAATATCTGCCATACTTAGCGAGAAACCCGCTATGGGCCTATGACCCGACGTGGGCTTCCTGCCTCATGTTACCCTATTTGTTTGCCTACTTGCTTCAGGAGTAGAAACCATGCATTTGGTGCTTGTTTGCCTGCTTGCTGCTGGAACAGATGAACTGGAGTCACTTGGTCGCCATCGAGCTCCCAGAGATGTTGAAGGTATTTTTTTACGTTTGAGCTGCTGTAACTGGTCAAGATTATCGAGCAACTTGCGTGGGCTTCGCCCACATAAAAGGCTTTTATGCATTTCAATTTAAAAGGAACTATGTGAAAAATAATAATCACAGATAATTAATCCTCTCGTACCTGAGATGAGAATGCCACATGACAAATTATTTCAGCTGATAAAATATTATATAATAAAATTTCTCGTATTCACTTTCAGAACACCTTGGTGCTTCAATTTGTAAATCTGGATTCAATAAAGGTAGTTTTAGGGCAAAAAAATATTTTGAAGGTTCGAGTCGCTGCATTAATTGCTTCATTGTCTGCCAACAAATTAAGTAGAAAATTGATCTAGCTGCTGTATATTTATGAGTGTTGAGAAAACATCTTCTTTTAAGAAGCCTTCTAATGTCCATGTCGAGCGAAGTATTGCGAAAAAAACTATGAATGAGACTTTCTTTTTTATGAACAACTTCTGAATGTTAGGGACAAGATTTCGGTAAACGGTAAAACGCATTTTAAATAGAACATTAAAGTTTGCTAAATTAGAATAATCACAAATTTTCATCAAAATTCTCATCCCTAATTATTTTTTCATTACCAAAATGCACTGAGCCAAATTCTAATTCAATTGCTCCTATTTCTTGTTACACCTTCTTAATTATTCTTAAAAATTTCAGTATGTTTCTTTCTGTAATTCGCCATCATAATATTTCTAATGTAATAATGTTCATGTCGATCTAGCAACTTCATGAAACCTCAAAATGAGTTACCGTTTTATATCGAGTTTCAACGTACGCAGTCAGTCTAACTTGATACAAGCTATGAATTAGCAAACTTTCCCGGTCAAACCTGTGAACTCGAACTTTTGTAAGCAGTTACATAAAGTTTCAAGTTTATCGGCTTCAAGCGACAGGAATTGACTGTGAAATCAGGAGAAGTCGTGGCGTTGGCGTGTCCAACGGCGAATGACATTTCTTGTCGTAGTTCGCAGGCGGCTGGGAAGCTATAGAACCAATCACAGTTTCCTCGCTTGTGCTATCAAAGAAATGATGGCAAGGAGATAAAAAAAAAACAGAGCAAAACTAGAGCGAATGAAGCTGAACAAATCTTGTGAAAATTACATAATTTTGATGTTAATCATTTGGACTGCGTTTCAAAAATATCTTAAGAAATATTACTGCATTTAACACACAAACAGCTCACCAAGTAGGCGTATAGTGTAACTAAAGTAGGTGTGTACTTATTTTTTACTTTGTAATATCTTTTTATTTATTACCTTTATTTACCTTAATGATCTGGAATTCACGCTAACTTACCGGACGTGCACAAAACGTTGAGTCGCTACAAA